TCTTCCATGTGTAAGCCATATTCTTCCATGTGTAAGCCATATTCTTCCACGTGTAAGCCATATTCTTCCACGTGTAAGCCATATTCTTCCACGTGTAAGCCATATTCTTCCAAGTGTAAGCCATATTCTTCCACGTGTAAGCCATATTCTTCCATGTGTAAGCCATATTCTTCCACGTGTAAGCCATATTCTTCCACGTGTAAGCCATATTCTTCTGTTTCCCAATTTGTGTTTTATCAGAAATACAGATCTTTGAAGAGGCACCATTGTGGGTTATCTTGGGGACCTGTTGAGGTCCCTTCCAGTAATCAAGTGTTAATATAATGAAATGCCATTTTCTGGTAAGGCCTGAAAGGCTCACTGGAACCCCCAGGTGACTTAGGTTGCCACCTTGTGTTGGTCAGGCACATTAGGGTAAGGGTATTTACATTGTGCTAATGATCGTTTGCCTTGTTACCCAAGTGTATTGAATTTTCTTTAAGCAGCAGTTTTCTGGTCAGATTTTTTTCAGTTTTTGATTTTCTCTGAGCTCTCCTTGCCTTGTAAAATGACAAAAACAAAAAGTCACTGATTCTGGCCCTGGCTTTCAATAGGCAAAGGTGGGTTTTAGAGACCTGGTGCTTCTCCCTAATGCTTGACTGACCACCACTTTGCTCAGTGAGCTTCTGAGGGCCCCACCAGAAGAGGGCATTTCATTACATTCAATGCTCGAGTTTTTGGCACTGTCAGCACACAATCTCATACAAAACCAAGACTTGACCACATTAAAATGAAAAAGGGTCGGTTTTATTTATTTTTTAATGCAAATAGGAGTGGATGATGATTAATCCCACCATGTAGAATCTGGGAGTCTATTGTACATTACATAGATTTTCATTTATTTTAAATTTAGATTATTACGTTAGATGAAGCATGCTCCAAAACTATTAATAACTTGGTTCTCCATTTACTACTTGTCAGCTCAGTAACTCCTGTACTGTGTTTCTGATCAGTATTAATCCAATTATAACAAAGAATACTACTGTATTGGTTTTTGTATAGATAGTTTTGGTTCAAGGAATATCAGTTAATTTTACCATGAATGGCAAAAATTAATATTAAGTAAAAGAGCCCTCTGTGTCTTTATATTTCCCATTTACAATTACTTTTAGCCTGTGTGCAGTACATGGCACACAGTAGATTCCCTATGTTAGCACCATAGTAACTTTGATGTAATGATTGGTTGTGGCATGTGGTTGGCCAGGCGGTTGAGGCAGCTGGAGAGTCGCATGTTACAGCTGGTGCAGCCGTTGCCTGCCTCTCTCGCCCGTCAGTTGAGCACCACCAGCAACCCATGGTAACCCAGGCGTGTGCCATGTCCATCACACACACTAATCCCTCTTGGTGTTAAGGTGTTTGACCAGCAGCTGGTGTGGCAGCAAACCTTTGTATAGTTTTTACCTACCAGTAGTTCATTGTAGCTTATGAAGGCAATAACGGCATATCTCGCCACATCATTTAATGTATCATAAGGGCAGTGAGACCCAACGGCAGCATCTACTCATTCCTTTTTGTTTTTTCTCTTAAAAGTTTTTACTTCTAATTAGATTTGTATTTCTATTTGTTAACTAATCAGTTGAATGTATTAGCTAATACTTCAATGTTTAGTATTACTTAGATTTTGAAGTTCTTTGTGATTGTTTAAAGCATTTTGTGCTGTTACATGTCACGTACAGTATAGGTATGACTGTTTCTGGGCTGCCCTCAGTAGTTCCCCTGTGTATTATCTCAGGTACCACAGAAACAACCACAAACCCACCAGGCCTTTGGACGTGTGCATATCTACCAAACACCAGGACCAGAATCTGGTACTTACCTATAAGTGCTAACCTATCAATGACTATAGGGGAGTTAGATCTAGCTCTTCATGCCCTGTGTCCTAGCCCTTTATAACTATCACATTAATTACCCCTCTCAGTACAGTATTAATGTTTTTATCACTTCTTAAGTTGTGTATGGAATTAGCTTCAACAACCTCTTCAATGCATTCCACATTCTTACCAACAACCCATACAGGGAATGAGAACATCCTTACATCTCTTCGACTCGATTGCATATTCAGCTTGTGCTGATGTCACCTTGTCCTAACACACACTTATTTAAATAGGCTTCCTTAGCCCACTTTATCTGTTCCCCTCAAGATCTTGTCTGTAGCTGCTAAATCCCCCCCTCTGTTTTCCCCCCCTAAGGTTGTGAGGCTTAGTTCTCTCATCCTGTCGCCATACCTCAGGCCTCTCAATGCTGGCGTTAATCAAGTTGCAAATCTGTGAACTTTCTCAAGTTTTTGCTTATGTTTTAGATGGTGTGGGTTTCATACTGGTGCTGCATACTCAAGTAATGGTTTCACATAGGCAGTGTGTATGGAATTGAAAGCCTTGTTGTATAGATTCTTAAATGACATTCTTATATGTGGTGAGCTCATAGAGGTGAGAAGTTCATAATGGGATCTGAGTGGTTTTATTCGATTAAACTCATAATTGAATAAAACCACTCCAAAGTACAAGCAAAGCAAAATAAAACTACCTTAATCTTGATTAAAGAGAGAGAGGATGGAAAAAAGGTTACTGGTAGTTGGTCAAGCACACGATCAGGTGGTAGGTGACATCATCCTGGTATCTAGCCCCCCTCCCCCCGTCTCCTCGCTTGCATGACTGGTACGTGCTACTGTGCAAGAATCATATTGGGCCTTTGAAACCCACTTGGTTCTACCAGGTGCCAGGACCAGAATCTGCTCTATTCAAGGTGAAGGAAGCCTGAAGATTAGAGATCAACCTAAAATCAAGGAAAAGCTCATCATGAAGTATAAGATCAGCAAGAGCAAATGTTGTAAAGAAAATGAGAAACCCTGAGGAGAACAAGGCAAATAATCACTGCTGGGGGATAAGTATCCTACCTGTAATGCATCCGAGGGCTTGAGTATCAGCAGATTGCAACCCAGGTCGCCTGGGGTCCCCACCAACTAGTTACCACGTTCATTTATCTGGTGTAGCCAAGATAGCACACCTCTGTTGGGGCCACATTTAGCTATACACTTTCGAACAAGTAGTGTTGGCGTGGAACATTTCATCCCATGCAGGGCGCATTATTTTGTTCCATTTCCTGCTTTGTTTATATTTTGTGCCACCAACTTTGCCTGTACCTTGTACTGTATTGCCTTTTCACTTTGGCTGTTGGAAAGTTTTTTCTGTTCAGCCCGTTCATAGGCACTGACTCAGACTCCAGTGACAGTGTGATAGCAGGACAACTTGGTAGCCCAATATGCTCAAGAGAGTCATTGCCGTTACTTCATCTCTCCAGGCAGTGGTCCGGTTCTGAAGGAATACTCTCTTGATCCTTGACATATACTTGATCTTTCCTCTCTTTAACACTTGCATTGCTTTTTAACCCTTGCACTGCGCACCTGTTTCATGTGGCAAATTTATGGTGCAGTTGGTAATGAATTATGAACAACTGTCTGAAATGTTATGCATGTTATAATGACTTTGCAAGATTGTTATACTCAAACCCCATTGTATGTACTGTACTTCTCGACCCAGTGTACCTTCTTGTATATAAATAAATAAATAAACTAACATTACCTAAAAAGTTTTAGAAATGAAAACAATATCAAAATATTCCCAAATTCAACAATTTTTGTTTCAAATCAGAGTGAGAAAACATTAAAAACATTACAATATTGCTGAATAAAAAAAAATCACACCACCTGTTCATTGCCTTTAGGCACTACGCATAGTGCAGTGGTTAAACTGGCAAGCTGACCACTCTTTCTCAGACTATAGGTTTCAAGTCATTCTTGGATTGTTTTCCTTTGATATACAGAAATCCAGAACATTTAGTGACATGTTCCACTACACCCATATTGGAACATGTTCACAGATTGGCTGGGGCTCAAAGTGAGGCATGTCTCTTACCACTTTCAGGCTTTTCATTTGGGCTAAACTTAGTTCCCAGAATCTTCACCAGGCTTATGCAGGTAGAGCTTTGCCATTGGGTTCTCAGCTTACAGATTTTGGAATTCTCCAATGACTCGTTGCTTTTAGCTCACAGTCATCAGAGTTGTCTGCTAGCTAGGGATTTAGTGTGTTTTCAGTTGGTGTGATCTGTGAGAGTATGCACTAGGAGGCTACCGAGGGCCAGCTCAGGAATGAAACATTAAATGTAATGAAATGCACTTTGTTTTATCTCTGTAGCTCTCCATACTTTCTCATCTTTGCCCTTCTTTCCTGTTGGAATTGGGTGCATCTTGGGAGTAGCACCTGAGTTAGAAGGCAGGCAGCTGCCACATGTTTATGTACTTGGTACAAGTGCATATTTTGTTGACATTTCTTTCCATAATCAAGATACTTAGTTTATTTTGACCACATGTACTTTGTGATGTGTGACTTGGGTTGATGTTGGATCTCCATGCTTTCCTTCCCTCTTTGAGCACACTAGATTCTGGTCCTGGTGGGTGGTAGGCCAGCACAAGTCCACAGGTCTGGTAGTTTCCTAGAAGTCTCTGTGGTACCAGAGCCAATGCACTGGGAAGTACTGATGCTGCCCATAAAAGAGCATTTCATTACATTCAACGCTTGATTTTTGGCTGTTTAACGTGTTGTGGTCAATTAGTGCAGCATGTTTAAACTAAATTAGCTTGTTTTCTTTGAAATCTTTAGCTTTTCTTGTTTATTGATCAGATTATGATATATGACTTTGAAATTGTATATTTATAAAATCTCTTTTGTTCCAGACTGTCATTTATTTTATATTATGTCGCTCAATTATTAAAGTTTCATTAGGTGTCACCACCAGTATAATTTCAATAAATTAGTGTAATAAACAGCATTCTTTGGCTATTTCCATGGTGTTGGTGTCCTGGTTCTTGTCACACCAGGTGTTCAACAGGGATCTTTATTTGATAGCCATAAATTCATTACTTGAATCTTAAGAATGAACTTGATTCCTGTATTGGTATTTTTCAGAACTGACCGTCGCAGCAAACTGATCTCGGGACCCACTAATTTTAATCACATAAGTCATATGGGCCCAGGAGACAGCATAGAAATCCAGCGCCTAGTTGACCTACCCTCCCGACTCAGTACTGCTGTTGACCAACGCACACAACACACACAGTCCATCCATAGGGTCAGTAAATGCATGTGCTAAAAAATATTGTATTTTGCTCTTTATGTGTGCTGCAGATATTCTATAGCTGAAGTTAATCAGGTAATTAAAAAAAATATAGCACTGAATGGAATGAAATACTTCATTTTGAGTGTTTCCTCAGTTTCTTGCTAAGCTATGGCCTGGGGTTCAACCATGTCAGTGCTCACATTTTAGCTTCCAGTCAACATTTAACTCCATCATGATTAGGAACTTTGCAAATACTTTGCAAGGGAGCCGGTCGGCCGAGCAGACAGCACACTGGACTTGTGATCCTGTGGTCCCGGGTTCGATCCCGGGCGCCGGCGAGAAACAATGGGCAGAGTTTCTTTCACCCTATGCCCCTGTTACCTAGCAGTAAAATAGGTACCTGGGTGTTAGTCAGCTGTCACGGGCTGCTTCCTGGGGGTGGAGGCCTGGTCGAGGACTGGGCCGCGGGGACACTAAAGCCCCGAAATCATCTCACGATAACCTCAAGATAACCTGGGTACTTATTTACTGCTAGGTGAACAGGTGCATTAGATGATAGGAAACACGCCCAACCATTTATGTCCTGCCAGGGCTTCTAACCTGGAATTCTCAACTGTGAATTGAGAATGAACCCAACTGTACTACCAGTACAGTATCCTATATTGCAGGACTATGTATTAGGTATGTGAACAGTTGAAACTTGATAGTGGTAGAGTTACCTCCCTACCAGGAGGTCAAGGGAGGACTCAGAAAACAAAAGCTGCATGAAGGTAATGTGAAAGGTGGCAACATTTCAAGGGAAGGGCTAAGAATAAGTTTATTTGAGTTTAGTCACAGAGAAATAGACATGGGTATTGAAGGAAGCAAATATAAGTGGTGGAACATGGAGAGCTTAGCTGGTGGACATAGCAGATAAACTCTGAGGCAACATATCATGAGCTGACAAGAGGAAGCATTAAGGACCCACCAGCATCACTAGACATGATGTTTTCCAAAAGTGAAGCAGATGTGCAGGAGATAGAACATTAGTTTTCCCTAGGAAAACTGGGAGCCGGTCGGCCGAGCGGACAGCACGCTGGACTTGTGATACTGTGGTCCTGGGTTCAATCCCAGGCGCCAGCGAGAAACAATGGGCAGAGTTTCTTTCACCCTATGCCCCTGTTACCTAGCAGTAAAATAGGTACCTGGGTGTTAGTCAGCTGTCACGAGCTGCTTCCTGGGGGTGGAGGCCTGGTCGAGGACCGGGCCGCAGGGACACTAAAGCCCCGAAATCATCTCAAGATAACTTCAAGATAGGAGGGTTGTGACTATTGTTTCAATGATGTTCTTGAAGTTGTAGATTTTAAGAATTCCTCATTATCAATTTTGCTGATTCCTCTTTCTATTTTGTATGTAATGACCATATTGCCTCATTTTCCTCTAGCTTTGGCATATTTAATGCTTCTATCTTGTACCTCATATTTTTTAGTTTCAGAAACCATTTCATAGGATACCTTTGCACCTTTTCCAGTTTACTGATATGCTTCTTGAGATATGGGCACCATACAATAATTTCATATTTTGACTTTGGTCTCACAAAAGTTATGAACAATTTCCCTAATATTTCACCATCTATGTATTAAATAGCAATTCTGAAGTTGGAAAGCATGGCATTGGCTCCTCACTTAATGTTCTGTATGTGATCCTCTGGTGACAGTTCACTATCTAGAACCATCCTTAGATCTCTGTTGATGGGTGGGTGCTAATGAATTTAGTGTTGGATGGGTGGGTGGGTGAGGTATGTGAAGTGGGTTTAATGATGTTAGTGAGTGGAGTTGTCAGTGCCTACCCCCACAGACTCGCTCACACATTCCTACTAGCAACCTTACCCTCCACTGACTCCTCCTCAAGTGGGTGAAGCTATGGAAAGGGTGAGGTGACAGTCACGAATAAGGTTTAGGGAAGACTACAGCAATATCTGCCCACATGGACTGCCACAGAGTTTTGTAACAAAATTGAGTAAGTGGGGGCTTGAATAGCATATATTGGCATATATTGGTGAGAGTTGATGGGAAAGTTGGTATGTGCGAGCATGTATTTTATATAATAAAATAATAGTGTTTGCATTTTTAACTATTAGTCACAAAGTAAAAATTGCATTTTGGTAAAAAATAATGCAAAGTACAGCATAAATATTTATTATATATAATAATAAATAATAATGTTTTTGTTTAGAAAATATATAGAACAACATGTTAGTGGTTAATTGGTTGTTACAGACGATATATATTTAATAAAACAACTTGTATGCAAGGCAGTACATTATAGTTCTTTGTTAGCAGCTTAACTTTGTACAGAATTTGATGTTTAGGTATAGCCAGTTTTGGAATTCAATAATAAATACAACTATATTTTTTCCTATCTCAGATTTCCTGAACATCCTCCTTTCTCTTGCCTCAGTATTATTTCTTGATACTGTAAACTGGAATTTATTTTTATTAAAATAATAAAGTAATATATTTATATAATTCTTCATCTCTCCACTAGGTGCGCAGTATGCTTCAAACAAGTGGAAAGTTAGCCCCACCAAGATTACCCCAGGGACCTGAGCCTCCTCGCCGTTCCTTCAGTCACCAGCCGCTTCCACAACCTCATTACTCAAATGTTCATAATGGTTAGTCTCTTGCAGCCATCTCATATGCTTCCTTCTTTAACTGCACTTTTCTCTCATCACTCGCTATTTTCAAACCTAAATTTCTGGAGGGGCTGAACAGTGATTGTCTGTTGCTAGTGACTCCAAATTACTGTAGTTTCATATCTGAGTCACATCAGCCTCAGGAGGCCTTAATAGCCTACTGGTGACCAGAGCCAGAACCTGGCCTTCTCTCACAGAGGCTCAGGGAGCAAGTGATTGTTACGTTCATCCACAACAAGGAAATATCCAGAAAGTAAGTGAAGCAAAACGGACAGCTGTAAGGTTGACAGAAAAAAGAAATGAAGCAGCAAATGATCAAACCAGCAGTTAGTTCAAACCCCATCCCACCTGGTTACAACTGACTACCAACAGGTGGCAGCACCACCTATTGGTCCTTGGGATGCTTGTCTTATGGAGCCCATTTGCTTGTCTATTATTCCATGATATAGCATTAGCTTCTTGTGCATTGATTTACAAGCTTCACTTGGAGCTGCATGTGCTTAGAGCACCCCTTCCCTAAGTAATTAAGTAGTGATGCCCTGTCCTGATGGTAATTTCCCTGGCTTGTTTTGGAGTTGGTCCCATACAGGCCAGCCTACTGTGTTGGGTGCCATGCCTAGAGTAGTGCAAGGGTCTTTGACTTTGTGTAGCTGAGCTGTTGATCTCCTATCTTTCATCACTGTGGCAATGTGAAGTTTCTTGGTGCTGCTCTTGTCTTTTTTTTTTACATCTTCATCATTTATCTCACTAATGGTGGATTTGTTATTTTTGTCATGTTTGTTTCTTGAATGTCATCTAATGCCTAATACTGTCACCATCTATTGGCCAGCTTATGGCAGAGCTGCTTTTGTTGGCTTTGGAGTAGATATTTCCACAGTGCCATTTCATAAATTGCTCATGCATTCTTTTCATCATTCTCCTCTCGAGCTGTCTTGGGACAAAAGAAAGGCTAACGCCTTATCAAGAGACCCTCAGTTCTTGGCCACCTTTTAGGTCCATGATACCTTTTTCAAGGCTCTGTTCTTTTTGGCCCTCATTTCAAGTTGGGGGAGCTTGATGCTTTACTCTGGAAGCATGTCTTTCATTCCTTTGGCCCTGGTGGGTAGTTTCTTTGTTTGCAGCCTCCTCATTTTCTGGTGAAGAATAAGTTGGCTTTTGGAGGGGTCCTTTGGTTATTGTTGCGTGGTTTGTTCAGCCCAGGGATGCATCATTTATTGTGTCCAGTTGGAGCAGTTTGTTGGTACTTGCATGCCGCCCAAATTACTATGGGTATCAAAGGATTTGTTGATCCGGTCTCTTCGGGTTCAAATTGTCTGCAGTGTCCTTAAGTGTAACCAGTCTGTGGTCTACACTTGGACCTTTGATGGTCACAAGTTTGCAGCTCTGATGTGTTTTTAACATGTCTTGGGCTGGAATTGGGGTTTGGAAAGTCTTAACAGGGTCGGCCAGGCTGCTCGATAGTTTGTCAGTGTTTCTGGTCATCAGACTGTTGTTGTTTTGGATCGGGTTTCCGGTCTTGGTGTATCCTCATTGAGGGTGTGACCGTCACTCCTCCTCCTTCCTGGTAAGTCGCAGTTTTCTTCTTTTCCATGGTTAATTAATTACAGGGAGCCACCATTCAGCTCTTACAGAAAGCAGCTTTGAATGTAATGAAATTCCCTTTTCTGGTTGGACCTTGGTAGCTTTGAGGACTTTTTCCAGCTGAATTTTAAACTGAAGTTCAGTACAGTTATGTTTTGGCATTTAATGCTTCGGCAAGTAGGAGATTACATTGATTATGATCTCGTGATTTCTGTCATTTATTGTAGCTTGTTGAGCTTGAAGCTGTTGCCCCTTGTATTTGTTACATTTAACATTTTAAAGAAGTGGTTTTAACCTTTAGACAGAAGTTATCATCATTCGTTGATTCATGGGATAATGTGGTTATCATCATGTGACGACTTAATCAATTATTGTCTGGAGTTTACATGCATAATGCAAATACTGTGTGTCCTCACTTGAACGAACTATATAGGGGCGAAGTCGATGTGTTCCAGTGCGTTATTCATTCCATCCGTCCGGCCTAAAAAACCCTCTTCAATTTTTTTTTTAAATACATATGCCAGGACACATTTGCATTAAGAAAAATTGCACCTGACTCATGAAGGGAGTCCTTGCTAGTACTGGGTGCTGGTCCTGTAGACCTACTGTGAAACCATACCAAAAACTTCTGAATCTTAGTTTGTTTCTTCGTTGTGGGCTGCTTCATTATAATATCTTTCATGCCCTTTAGGCGTCAATAATAATCTGCCAGCTCTTCATCATCAGTCACTTCTCTGGCACTATCCCCCGCCACTGACACCACCAGACTTCTCCTGACACCATCCCCCACCACTGACACCACTATTTATTATGAATTTCTCATTTTGACTACGGAATATAATAAAGCAATGTTACAAGCAACTGAAATGGTAAAATATTCTCGAGTTTAATATGGGCTGTATTGAGGCAGCAGTGGGAGCCATGTGGGGCAGCAGTCAGCTGGTCACTCAGGCCAGACTTGGAGGCATCAACATGCCCAACACTCCCATAGAGGCTAGCCGACTTACTTATCCCCCTCACCACTGACACATCCATTTATTATGAATTCTTCATTTTGACTATGGAATACGATAGAACGGTGTTACAAACAACTGAAATGGTAACATTTTCTCAGGTAATTTGTTGAAAAAAACAGTGAGTGAAAACATTGTGGTGGTGGCAGCCGGTGCCAGCCACAAAAGGAAATGTTCCAACCATTTAAAATACTGTATATCACAATTTTCACCATTATTATTGCTTCAATATGACATTAAAAAACAATTTTCAGTGTAGATAATGCGATAATTGACATAACTAAATTGACTCGTGGCATCTGACGACGAGAGGAGAGTGAGTAGTGACGGGTCTCTGGTGGTCAGGTGCAGGAGGGGGGAAGACTATCCCCTCCCTCCCTAATAAATCCTCTCACCACTGACACCACAATTTATTATGAATTCTTCATTTTGAATATGGAATATGATAGAGCGATGAATTGCAAACAACTGAAATAGTAACATTTTCTCGGGTAATTTTCGTGAAAAGCAAACAGCGAGTGAACTATCGAGGTGGAGCATGGAGGCGCCAGCCACGCATTGCCATTTAGATGATATTTTGGGTCAGAGCTCTCCACAGACACAACCTGCCTCCTGTGACACTACTGTTACTCCAGCTTCTCTGACAACTTCTACCACTGACACAACCTGCCTCCCGTGACACCACTATTACTCCAGCTTCCCTGATAACTTCCACCACTGACAACCTGCCTCTCATGAGAATAACTTACACCACCTGCCCCCTAACAATAAACCCTAACTACTGTGACACCACTTGCCCCCTGACAACAACTCTCACCAATGACCCCCTGACACCATTTTATTATCCTTCAACCATTTCTTCCTAGAAACAATGGCTAAGCATAATAAAACGCTGTATAACTGTTTACACTTTGGCGAATCATAGTTGATGACAGCCAGCTCCGATGCTCGGTCTCGGTGACCACTTGGACGAACAATCCTCGCTTAATCGAACATTTGTATGTTCCACTGAACATTTAGTACCGAATTCAATTTTTTCGGATCTTCCGGGAATTCGCTAGAGCGGGGTTCGTTAGATTGAGGATGCACTGTATGGATATACTAGCTCTTATGCGGATATAGTGGATTGTACCTTGATCCATGAAAAAAATCCTTACCATTTCATGGTTACATGTAGTAGGTGAATAAGGTTATAGTCATAAATATTACTAGGGGAATGCGGTCATCATCATATGACTATTTAACAATTACTCTCCGAGTTTTACATGTATAATGCAAATATGGATATAATACCTCTATGTGGATGTATTGGACCTTACCTTGACCCATGGAAAAAATTCTGCTACCATTTCATGGTTACATGTACTAGGAGGAGGTACTCTGCAAGGCTGCATCTGGCACTTGTCAACTCCTGGTGCTTGACTTTACTGACGCTTCCTGTTTTATCCTCGGATGTTTCACTGATTGTTTTATGACTTGTTTTTCATTATTTACATCCACAGAGAGCTATTATATCCATATTTGCATTATACATAAAATCCCAGACAATAATAGTTTAAATTGTCATATGATGACAACATTTCCCTAACAACATTCATGTTGATAACTACATTTGTAACCATGAAATAGTGGCAGGATTTGTTTCATAAGTCAAGGTAAACTTCATTACATCCACATAGGCCTGTTATATCCATATCTGCATTGTGCATGTAAAACGCAGACAGTATTTGTGTAAATCATATGACAAAAGCCGCATTACCTTAACCCCTGCACTGCTCACACATTTTCGGCAAAAAAGTCTTGGTGCAATTGTCAAGGACATATTTTTGTTGTTTTCAAAAATGCTCAGGTAAAGTTAATGTCAAAATGTTTCGAAAGTCAACTATTTCCCTTTCAGAACACAAAGAGTAATGAAAACATTAAAAAACATAAAAATATAGTCTAATTAAAAAACAAAACTCACAACTCTTAGAGCGCCTAAAGGCGCTTTGCGCAGTGCAGTGGTTAAGGATGGTTAGTAGACAATAATCATCGCCTAAGGATTAAAAGGAGGACATTGAAAAGCTTTGGAGCTTTTGTTTACTAAATTTTATATTGATGAAGTTATTGTGCACCAACTTTTCAATTGAAATATTTTGGATTCATTGCATTTTCTATTAAGTACTAATATTAATTTATTGATGTTTTCCAGTAAGGCAGGATTTGGACAAATCCTTATACAGGATTTGGAGTTTTCTTCGGTGAACATGTAGCCCATTGATAGGCTTATTTATATCACTGTTCATCAGTATCACAAGCCCTAATTATCAGAGGATATTTTGAGCTCCTTATAGTCTCATAGTCCAGTTGGATTAGTGGGATCTGCAATGTGAGACAAGCTTAGCATCACCTTGATCCCACCATTGATACTACTCACCACATCCACATCCCTAACCCACCACATCCACATCCCTAACCCACCCTATCCCCAACCATTCTCTCCCCAGTTTCACGTACCATCTATCTTTTCTCCCTCTCTCCTCTCCCCTTCCACCATAACTTGCCTCCCTACAATCCAACCACAGCTCTAACCCCTACTGCCTATTCTCACTTCTCATCCCACCTATTGCACCAGTTTTGTTAGTTTTATGATATATGATACCTGCTTAACCCTCAAACCGCGCATATCATATATAAATGATATCAGTGACAAAACCGAAACCGCGCACATCATTTATATATGATTTCGTGTCTAGCGCTATAATTGAAACGCCCCGCCTGGGATAGGGGCAGCTATAGTACAGCCACGACCGATAGTTGCCAGATGCCACCTAGAAAAAAAATCCAGGCCAACATTCTTGGGTGTTACAGCGTCAGTATTGAGCAAGCCACCAAGGCTGGCGCACGCAGCACGAGCTCACAGCACCGCTGTTCAGCTTGTGACCACAGCATCGCCTACAAATACCATAATATAAATGATACTGCTATTATTTAGCAGTGATAGTATTACTGAAGCCCCCTGACTGTGATAAAACTGACCAGGATTCTGATAATAGCAGGATTGTGCTGATATTTAGCGCTGTGCTCCATGGAGGGAGGCGTAAGGCTGTGCGAGGGAGGGTTGTGGCGTCGTCTTCTGACTGTGTGTGGCCACCATTTATTGACTGCACTCACCATACCAGCTTAGTGGTTCGATATGGTGAACACAAATGTAGATACTTATATATAACGTGTGTAGTGTGAGATAACAGCGAGAGGAGTAGGTTGGGAGCCGCCATTTTGGTGAGGGAGGAGCGTCGTCTGCACGACTTGGCATGGTGTTTACTGATGGCCACTATGGTCTTTGGGCACCATACCAGCTTATTTGTTCAGGTATAGTGAATAAAACGGGTAGATACTTATATATAATGTGTGTATATAGCGTAATAACACCACAAACAATATTGTTGGATGACAAATATTAGTGCGTCGCCTTGAAGGCGGCCACCGATCAGGTGACTGTGTGAGTAGCTACGTCTTATGGCCTTTACTCACCATACAAGCTTAGATGTACAGTTATGGTGAACAAAACATGTAAATACGTATATATAACGTCTGTGTATAGTGAATAAATACAAAAGAGTATTGTGGGAGGTGAATGAGGGTGAGTGAGGTGGTGTTGAGGGAGGGAGTGGCAGTGAGTGGCTCGCTGGTGTTTGGCGGTCACTCCTCGTTGCTTTTTGACTCACAAGACCAACTTAGTAGTTCGTTATGGTGTACAAAACATGCAAATAATTATATATAACCTGTGTATATAGTGTAACAACAGCAAAACTATTTGTTTATTGTTTTATGAACATAATAATTGAATCACTAATATGCACACCATAATTTTGAGTACAGCGATGGTTCACACATTTTATAATATAAATATACCACAATTCACTGTATGGAATAATATTACTGCAAAAAAACTAAGAAAAAATCAATCAGACACATTGAAATAATTAGGTAATAATATATTTGTGGCAACTGCCGTCTGACAGCTCGGGCGGAGTAGACCTCGTCTGGCGAAGGCTCTGCCAACGCCCCTTTTTTGCCACACTTCCCTACCCTATTGGGGCTAAAATATGCCACCTACGATTTTTTTGTTATTTTTTCCGTGATCAGGGAACAAAAATGAACACTTCTATAAGACGAAAGAATTTTTTGGATTTTTTTTTTTGTTGCGCCTGTGGGTGTGAATTCCATTTGGGCCCCTAGTGGTTTGAGGGTTAAAGGGGTTCTGGGAGTTCTTCTACTCCCCCAAGCCTGGCACGAGTCCAGGCTTGACCTGTGAGAGCGTGGTCCAACAGGCTGTTGCTTGGAGCACCCTGCAGGCGCACACGTCCACCACAGCCCGGTTGGTCGGGCACTTCTTGAAGAAAATTATCTAGTTTTCTCTTGAAGATGTCCACGGATGTTCCAGCAATATTTCTTATACTCGCTGGAAGGATGTTGAACAACTGTGGACCTCTGATGTTCAGACAGTGTTCTCTGATTGTGCCTATGGCACCTCTGCTCTTCACTGGCTCTATTCTGTATTTTCTTCCATATCATCCACTCCAGTATGCTGTTATTTTACTGTGTAGATTTGGAACCTGGCCCTCCAGTATTTTCCACATGTATATTATTTGATATCTCTCATCTATATGGCATCCAGGGAATGTCTGTCTTGATTGCCCTTGTGTAGCTGAACAATATTTTATCACTACTAGACTGCATCCACTAACAGTTGAAATATGTATGATTGTATACCGAGTGTAAATGTAAGAATATTAATCATTATGCATATTATAATTACCCTGTACTGATGTTAGAGGACATTATAGTAGAGTACAATATTTGTAGTACATAAGGATAAGTAGAGCACATTAATAATGTTTTATAAAATATTTACCTGTAGGTAGTGGACCTGCACCAGTGCCAGGCTCTATGCGTCGGACAGGAATGCCTCCACTCCCACCCACCTCGGCTCCACAGCACCTGCCTCCACAACGCTCACCTGAAGAGCCTCGTCATCAGATTATCCATCAGCTTCAAGAGGTATTTGTATATACAGCACTTTAGTCTTGCATATTGTTACTGAGTACTGTGTATAGAATCCTGCATATTTTTACTGAAAATAATAGTTTAAATTGGCATTGTAGATATAAATTTATTTTTAATATTTCTTGCGCATCAGTACAGAATGCATGTGTGCACACACACATGCATATGCATCTTCAAAACAAGAGAACATAGGTTTAAACTAAGGAAACAAAACTGCCCCCCAAAAAAATGAGAACGTTCACTTTTGCAGACAGTGGTAGATAATTAGAATAAGTTAAGTGAGAAGGTGGTGGAGGCCAAAATAGTCCGTAACTTCAAAACATTATATGACAGAGTACTGGAAAGACGGGACACCACAAGTGAAGCTTTTTATCCTGTAGTTACACTTAGGTAATTACCTAAGCTGAGCATTCCACTTCAGTTGATATTTCAGACATCTTTGTGCACAGGAATCTTAGTAGATATATGGAATAAGACAAACATAATTCTAATCTACAAAAATTACAACAGGTGAGATCCTCTAAATTATAGATCTGTATCCCCGAGAAGTGTTGTGGTAAAAAACGCTAGAAGAAAGTTAAAATCAAGTGGGCAGAATACCTGGGGGTAGATGATATAACAACAGACAGTATGTCTTTCAAATGAAGATCCTGTTAACAAATCTACTTAGATTTTACGATAGCTGCAGAGATTCTACAGGAAAGAGATGGTTGGGTTGACTGTGTATTTATCTGAACCTTGAAAAGGCTTTTGAAGGGTCCCACACAAAGGGTTGGTCTGGAAACTGGAATGTGCTACAGTAGAAAGGTGACAGGCAGACTGCTTACATGGATGAACAAATTTCTGCCAGAAAGATGAGGGCAGTAATCAGAGGCTGCATATCAAATTGGAGAAGTGGTACTAGTGGTGTATCTTCTTCAGGTTATCTTGAGATGATTTCGGTGCTTAGCGTTCCCGCGGCCCGGTCCTCGACCAGACCTCCTTTTTGTGACATGCCCCCAGGAAGCAGCACATAGCAGCTGTCTAACTCCCAAGTACCTATTTACTGTTAGGTAAACAGGGCCATCAGGGTGAAAGAAATTATGTCCATTTGTTTCCGTCTCCACCGGGGCTCGAACCCGGAACCTCAGGACTACGAATCCCGAACGCTGTGTACTCAGCTTTCAGGCCCTTAACCCTAGGGTACCATAGGGTTAAGTTCCATCATCAGTAATGTTCATTGTCTATATAAATAACCTACCACAAGGAATATAGAATTATATAAACATATTTGCTGATGCCAAGCTAGAAAAGATAAAAAACTTAGATGAGTGTCATGCCCTTCTAGATGACCTGGATAAAATAAGTATGAAGCAAAACTTAGCAGATGGAATTCAATGTGAATAAATGCCACCTTATGGAATGTAGAATAGGAGGAAATAGGCACCACACAACCTACAACTTATGTGTAAAGTCGACAAAAAGAGAGATTTAGAAGTGGTTGTGGATAGTAAACAGTCACCAGAGGACCACATACAGATTATTGTGTGAGGAACCTATGCTATGCTTTCCTACTTCAGAATCTCTCTTAAATACATGGATGGTAAAATACTGAAGAAATTGTTAAAAATTTTTGTGAGACCAAAGTTGGAATATGGGGACCATACAACCATTGTATATCTCTAGAAACACATAAATAAACTGGAAAGGATACAAGAACATGCTACCTAATTACTTCTGGAACTGAATAATTGAGTTCTAGTTGTTAAATATGCCAAATCTAGAAGGAAAAGAGGCAATATGACCACTGTATGCAAAATATTAACAGGAATCTACAATACTAGAAACAGGAATTTTTTTAAACTTGCAACTTCCAGGTTAAGATTAAAGTTTAGGAAATAAAAGTTAAACAATAAAGAAATTGTTTATGATGTAACACCACTACTGTATACTGTCTCCACTCGATCATCCGGACTATATGGGAAGGACCCCCAGCCGGATTATCACATTTTTCGGATAATGGTACTTTTTCACCTAGGAGTCCAAAAGTGACCATTTCCAACTATTTTTATACTACAAACAACATAATTTGAATTGCCTTGCCACATACAATTATTAAATATTCAACTAGAAACCTCAACTTACCTTGTTGGTGTTCGTCTTCTTGATTGATGCCACACATCTTGAAGTTAAAAATTCTTAACAATTTACGTAACCTATACTAACACAACACTAAAATTAACACTTAAAATTACTGTACAGTTCATTAAGCTAAGTTAGTTTTGACTGCCAGCTGCTGAAGCCTCACTGGTTGAGGGCATTTGGGTTGCCTGTGAGGCCTCACTTGTTGAAGGTGCTTGCTTGCACCTCACTTGTTGAAGCGCTTGCATGCCCTCACTTGTTGAAGGCGCTTGGCTTGCCTGTGACGCCTCACTTGTTAAAGGCGCTTGCTTGCGCCTCACTTGTTGAAAGCGCTTGGCTTGCCTGTGGCGCGTCACTTGTTGAAAGCGCTTGGTTTGCCTATAATGCCTCACTTGTTGAAGGCGCTTGGCTGCCTGTGACGCCTCACTGTTTGAACAACACGTAACTTGTCTTTAATTGCTAGGACAATCTTCTTCCTCTTAACACTTCCAGAACGATTGATGCTGCTACCAGACATATTCTTGGCCAAAAATGTTCAAAATTACTATGAAAATTAAGAAAGTTATTTAAAAAAATATTTCACTAATGGCGCAACACTGTGAGGCCGCACTGGTTGAGGGGTATAACTGTGACTTGTCTTTAATTGTTAGGACAACTTTCTTCCTTTTAACACCTCCAGAACGATTGATGCTGCTACCAGACATAGTCTTGGCCAAAAATGTTCAAAGTTACTATGAAAATAAAAAAGTTATTTAAAAAAATATTTCACTAATGGCGCAGCACTGTGTATAACACGAGGGACGGACGCACATGGGTTGACCAGTGTTGGACAGGTCCACTTGGGGCAGCCATAGCGTTACGTAGGCCGCCAGGAGGAAAAAAATTCACAATATTTTTTAAGGAAACTTCAGCCTGTGAACAATGCTTTTAGGAAACTTATTTATTTGTTATTACATAATTACTAGTAGTTATTTTATTTGTTTTTGGCTATGATTAATTGTTCTAAAATTAATGGTAATTCCTGTACCCAGGTAGTCCCTCCTGACGCACCCCTCCCACCCTCCCAACACCACCCACCCACCCCACCCCCACCTACACCATGCGCCTCGAGTCTCGGGCAGACGGGATTAATACCGTATGACCCGCCTCATGTTTTCATATACGGACAAAGGCACGATTATCCGGGGGACTGACCGGATAGTGTAATTTCTGCAGAAAACCTGCTTTAATCCGGTCCCTGTGGCTATTTTGGCCGGATATTGTGATAACTTTATCCGTTCACGATTTTGGCCGTATAAGGGTGTTTTTCGGATGTTCGAATCCCGGATAATCGCGGGGTTACAGTACGTATAAATTAAAAATAAAAAAACATTAATAATGTAACCCTGCTAAATTTGTACACCAAATATTACAGTACCACTAATGGTTATACTGGAACCAAAGGTACCCTTCTAAGGAAAAGCTACACAGGATTAAAAACACTGCCACCATCAACTATGCAGAGAAATGATAACTAATTTCTGTCCATAGCTCGAGAGCGGAAGCGCATACCCTAAACTCTCTTTGTTTTCCGTATGACGCACCTTAACTAATATACTTAAAATACGTGTGGCTCCGAGCAACGAAAACGCGAGCCCGCTTAAACAAATAAACAACGATGTGGCCAACCGAGGGGCCAGGCGCGCAAGGCTCCAATAAACTGTAGACACGCCCACAATTTATTGGACCACCGCTAGCACCATTGTAATACCCCTATACACATGAACTAATAATAAAACATTACTATATAGCACCACTAATGGTTATACTGGAACCAAAAGGTACACTTCCAACAAGGAAGTGCTACACAGGATTAAAAACGCTGCCTCCATCTGCCTTGTTCATTAACTATAATCAAGCAACGAGGCAAGAAACATTGCTTGACTTGGAGAGTCCTCTTCCTTTAACTGTCATTAATTATGGGACGGTTGTTAGCAAATTATATCCAGAAGCTAATGGGATTCAACAATTTACACAGACAGGAAGTTTAACAGGAGTATATTTAGAACAAGTTTGAAATTCACCACTATAAATCCCTACTTTAACACTGGCAATACTGGCAATTGTTACGGGATCCAGACATGGAAACGTATCAAAGATCACACACATTACCTTAATTAAGATCTCTCTCTGCCTCTCGGTCTGGTGGATTCACTCTGTCTCCTGAGGCTGGCCTGTAGCCTCACTGACCTGCAGCCTCACACTACCTCCGACACTCCAGCACTCTCTCTCTCTCTCTCCTAACTATCATACAGGGGTATATATACAACTGAAACAGAAGGGGGGGGGGGTCATTTTACACTGTTGTGGGTTACCTTGAAGTGCTTCCAGGGCTTAGCGTCCCCGCGGCCCGGTCGTCGACCAGGCCTCCTGGTTGCTGGACTGATCAACCAGGCTGTTAGACGCGGCTGCTCGCAGCCTGACGTATGAGTCACAGCATGGTTGATCAGGTATCCTTTGGAGGTGCTTATCCAGTTCTTTCTTGAACACTGTGAGGGGTCGGCCAGTTATGCCCCTTATGTGTAGTGGAAGCGTGTTGAACAGTCTCGGGCCTCTGATGTTGATAGAGTTCTCTCTTAGAGTACCTGTTGCACCTCTATTTTTCAATGGGGGGTATTCTGCACATCCTGCCATGTTTTCTGGTCTCATGTGATGTTATTTCTGTGTGCAGGTTTGGGACCAGCCCCTCAATTATTTTCCACATGTAAATTATTATGTATCTCTCCCGCCTGCGCTCAAGGGAGTACAGATTTAGGCTCTTTAGTCGGTCCCAGTAATATAGATGTTTTACTGAGTGGATTCTAGCAGTAAAGGATCTCTGCACGCTCTCCAGG